CCCTATTATTTATGACCGTAGAAAAGGAGGAGAGGAAGAAGAATGGAGAATAATGGCTCGGACCATTTTTTGATTTATTTTCATTTTTCCAGGTGCCAGGCCGGGCTGTTTATTTCCCAGGTGCTTTGTGCGAGAGAAGATTTATTTAATTTGTGATGAATAGTCGACTCCCAGAGAATTTCCTCTGCTGGCTGGAGATTCAGTGTTTTATTCTCCTGCTGCTGTGTGAATACATAAGCATGTGGGACTCTGCAGTACTTATACTCACAGTGTATTTACATGTGTACCTTTCATGTACTTGGAACTGAGACCGTTTTGACAGCTCGGACATCAGGACAGAAAAGGGACATTTTTGTGCCTGATGTGTTTCTTCTTCACGGGTAAAGTTTAGGACTCTGTCTTGACTTTAGGTGTTTTTAAATTTAAATGAGGCTCCTCACATACGTGTGTGTGTGTGTGTGTGTGTGTGTGTGTGTGTGTGTGTGTGTGTGTGTGTGTCTCTACAGGCCGAGGGGATCCTCAGAGCGTGGGCGACTCCTACTTTACAGAAAGAATACGGCAGCGAGCCTGTGGTCACTAGGATCTGGAACACCACCATGACCGAGGTACAGTCTCCATCATCATCATCTTCATCATCTTCATCATCACACTGTTCAGAACCATAAATATAATTTGCTTTCGTTTAAATCATCACATGAAGTTTAAGGATGAAAAACGACATCGTTATCTGTTAAACTGTTTCTCCTCCTGTGTTTCCTTCGTCTCACAGCTGAAGTGCTGCGGCTTCAACAACTACACAGACTTCGTGGGTTCTTCGTTTGAAAAGGAGAACGGAGGCAGCCTGCCGCCCAACTGCTGCTGGGCCCACAGCGCCCCCTGCACTCCGGGCGAGGCAGAGCGCAGCAACGTGCAGGTGAGATTGAAAACACCAGAAATATCGATTTACTTTACTCGCTGGTACAAACTGAGGCGGTCGTATATCTATCTATCTCATATCTGATGCTCGTTGCTCCTCAGGGCTGTTTCCAACACATCCTGGAGACGCTCAAAGAACACGCCAACATCGTGGGAGGGATCGCAGCAGGGATTGGAGTCTTGGAGGTAAAAGGACATTTGCTACTCTTCACTTTGGCTGGAAGACGTTTGTTAAGTTTAATCGGAGCTGCCAAAAAGTACAGATATCCAGTATCTGTGCTCAACAGCAGTACATGTACTACAGATTTCATGTTTCTGTTTCCCCAGATTGCCGCCATGATCGTGTCCATGTACCTGTACTGTCACCTGGACAACAGAGTGAGCTGAGGCTCCGTCAGAGAAACACGACGGACACGACGCAGATGAATCACACGTGGTTCAGATTTAAAATCAACATCATTTAATAATGTCACGTCCGTGTTCTGAAACGTGCTTTCTGGTGTTTCTTGTCTTTCAGGGAAGCATCTGTAGTTTCACTATGACGTCATGTTAACCCCATAAATAAGATCCTTCTGTTTTTATGTGTAGTAAAGCACTGCAGATATTTCCTGCATTTATATGAAGTGTAAATATTTCATAGTTGTCAATAAAATATTTCAAACCGCTTTTCTGTCCTGAGAAGTTGAATCTGAATCTGATCTCACTTTTCTCTCTGTGTCCTGATAAAGTTCAGGGAGGGATTAATGCACAGATCAGGGGACAGGCCCAGGGGACAGGCCCAGGGGACAGGCCCAGGGGACAGGCCCAGAGGACAGGCCCAGAGGACAGGCCCAGGGGACAGGGTGTCAGCAACACGTGTACATTTTCACTTAAGGCGGCGATCACCTCATTCCTTCCCAGTCGTGAATATATTTTTGTGATTATTCCGACACCTTGTGAATTCAGCATCAGGGTGGAGGGGTGGGTGACCGTCCCATTTTGTAAAATGTCGTCCTCCGACTGGCCTGGTCTGTGCTCGGGGCTCATTGTCTCATAGGGACTGAGACGTCCTTAGGGCCACTATTCACCCTGAGAAAAGGCTGCACATTATTTCACATATTCCTCTGGAAGACCGTACATGTGAAAGGAGGCAGCAGAGCTCCGTTGGTCCTTTGTCCTGTTTATTATTCAATCCTGTTCCATCTCCTGCCCTTGAAGATTAAAGTCATTGTGACACAGGCCTGAGTAAATATTGACCAATAAAAGGCCTGTGAATAGACGGAGGCGGTGCATTGTTCCGCAGGTTATCTGCCGCTGCTGAATTACTTCTTTCATCACTCATCCTCCACCAGCGACTCGAGGCTTCGCTCACCTGCTTCTGTTCGACAACAGAAGAGCTGCACCGAGGCGGCCATGCTAATGAGGCTCATTTTATTTTGAAAGGTCAACAAGAGGAGAGAGATTAAGAAAAAACACACAAAGGAGTAACGACACAAAAGCTGCTGTTGCTAATACATCTGAGGATATTGGATAATATAGAGTTTTTCTATTAAACAAGCTCAGATCAGCTGCGGTTGGTTTATTGAGTCTTCTGCAACATAATTTTCCTTTTTTTCTCAGAGAGGATTTTAGAGAACTGAGATCTATGAGTCAGCTGAAATTTTAAATCTGGATGGAATGAATTTTAAATAAAGTGACTGTTGGAGGGATGAGCTCTGAGAGATGTATTTTATAACGCTGGTGCAGAACACATCTGTCTGTACGTATCTGACTGTGTGTGATTAACTGGTGAACCAGCCTTGGTGGAGGTTTGAGCTCTTTTAGTTTATTAAGACATTATTTGTCTTTGCATGTAAATCATGCAGAAGATTATTTTTTTCTCAGCTAACATGTGATTTCACTTCATGGTTGAAATTTATTTTCCAGTTCTGAATGCAAACACGTGAAATTTAGTTCCGGAAGAAAAAAGAAATAAGTAAATAGTCTAATGCTGTAAAATATCTGAGGGTGAAACAAAAGTGCTCCCATGTTTTTTTATTTACTTCAATTTGTTTTCAAAATCATTTAATCAAGTGTATTTTTCTCTGCTGAAAACTCAACGGGTTTGTTTTTCACTGACTCCTGAGATTCTTCTTCTGTTTCATTAACTCGACAACAGAAGACGTGTGTGTGTGTGTGTGTGTGTGTGTGTGAAGGGAAAAGATGAACGAGTTGTTAAAAAAGGAAAATATATAAATTCTAGGTGAATAAATAAAGATGATAATGCAACAGAAGGAAAACACTCATAGTAGTAAGGCAAGAGGAGTTCTTGTGAAACTACCACAAGGCTTTTATTGTGAAAGACCTACAGGAAGTGTTGATTTTAAGTAGCAGTCGTTAAAACAAAGTCAAACGGACACGTCAGACACAGACACGGTAAAGTACCCAGTAACGGTGACATTAGATCTGGGTCTCAGCTGCATGGATATGCAATTGGAAGCATGAACTGGTTTAAGGTGGAGCCCGAGAATCGATCCTTGTGGGACGCCTTAAGTGACGAGAGTTCTCTTTTAGATCCAGTAACACCAGGATCAGTTCGTTAAATACTAAACATGTTCAGGCAACCGGCTTCACCGTGAACACTGTGGTTCACATAGTTGTGTATTTGCTGCGCGTGTTGCTGGACGACGACAGCAGAGGGCGCACTACAGAACTCCAACTAAAGACTTTAAAACACGCCCCTCTATAAGCTTACACTCTGTCTGCCCCTTCCGGATTAAACATACACAAAGATGCCAACAGTCGAGGACATAAACATTTAGCTAACGACTCACTACAGACCCGACCGAGTACGTGGGTACTGCATTTAATCATTTCTGAAGATGTGCACAACCTATGCACCAAACTGATGCAGGATATGTGAAGCAGCCATCTTGTTAATAGCAATTATATTGTGGCCCGCAGTCTGCTCATGTCATTACTCAGGCAAATACGATTTAAAATCTTTATGAGAGCAATTTCAGTGCTATGATGTGGGCGGAAACCTGATTAAAACACGTTCAGGATGTCATTACTCTGCCAGAAATTATTGATTTGATTAAAAACTACTTTCTCATTCATCTTTCTTATGGAAGGGAAGATTAGACGCCTGTAGTTGGCCAGTTTCTCTTCCTCTGACAATAACAACAACTGAAAAAGAGCTAAAATTGCTTTTCTTGAAAAGCTTGTAAGGAGAATAACTAGTGAGCAGTTTGTTATGTTGTGGCAGAAACAGACGGACAGAGACTGAAAGGCAGCGAGAAGACAAACCATGTTCGCTCTTCCATCCAATTATAAACCTGCGAGGCATTTAGAGTTAAATCTGTCATCATCCCAGTGCTGCCGGGCTCCATGTTTAACAATAACCCCGAGCTCTCTCTCACACACACAGACACACAATCAATATTCCATCTACGTGGCAGTCATCAGCTTCTGAACCCGGCTCATCAGAATGCTCAATAGGTCAAAAATGACATTCAAAGGCAGCAAACACACACACGCCGATACGAACCACTGACTTCTGACTGACAGGCACAAATGACCAGGTTTGGAGCTGGTGCTGATGGACAAGTGTGTGTGTGTGTGTGTGTAGACTATGAAACTAATGCCTGATGTGCAATATATATACACACACACAATTACTACGACTTCACCTTCCTCCATCATGAGTAAACAGACCTGAACATCGATCTTAATTAGACCTGATGCAGATATTTGTCTAATGACAGATTCATAAACACACACACACACACACACACACACTTCATGGAAACCAGTTTGGTGCCAGTTTATGAGATGAATATAAAATTCATGCTCCCTGAGCCGTTTCCAGTCCGACTGGACGAACTCGTTAACTGTGCTGAGACGATAATTGCAGTTCATAACAACTGGGACAGGGAACAGACGGAACAGGTCGCCTGTCAGTCACAGGGCAAAGACACAAAACCATTCACATTACTTGTCACAACTACAGCCCCCCCCCCCACGACATACCAATTAGCTGCTAAAGCTAAGTTGTCTACGTCGTGTAGCTATGAGCCAAGACTCTAGTAAAACACGCTTAAACAGAAATGTCGTATAAAGTTGAGGCTTCTTGCCGCCAGTGTTTCCTGTCCGCCAAGACCTCCGTCATCCCAAGATTTCCAAACGTCTGTCTCAGCCAGCAGGTCAAGTGGTGCGGGTGTGTGTGACAGTTTTTTTTTTTATGTGATATTAAAACCAGCATTAATTTTTTAATAAAAAGCATTTACTTGAGTTTAAAGCTCAAACGACATTCAAGTGTTTAAGTGATCATCATCATCATCATCATCTCACTCTTTAAAATGTGAAGGAAACAACACGTTTGACAGATACGAGCCGAGGTTTCCTGTGATGGATCAATCAACTCAAGCACGTTCTACGTTTCCACTGAGTGAAACCAAGGAAAGAAACCACAGTTCTTGGAACACAAGTTTGAAAGAGTTCACCTGAAATTAAATTTATCTTTAGAAAAAAGATTAAATCCAAACTTCTACTTCTGATTTATTCTGTAAACGATGATGAAAGTCCGAGCTCAGAGGACAGGAAGCCACATTTGTCCTTGGTCAACCACAGCGGCTGCAGAAATCCACCGTGCTCTGAGGATTTGCATACATTTCCCTCGCTGCTGGCGTTTCCTCTCTCCGTTGCTTTGCCTGATGCTCCCCGGGGAAATCTGCAGCAGCACAAGGCCACAGCACAGTAGAAGACCCTGAGCCAAGAATAACAATGGCTCCAAGTTTATTCCCCAAATTATATACGATAATAAACCCTTCTGATTTGAATTACAATAAAAACATGCGATGCAGCCTCGGAAGAGAAAAAGCCGCATGAAACCAAAGTTTAAATAAAAACACAACTTTATTCATCTCCATGATAAAAGTTAAGGAAACTCACACACGTCAAACTCTTAAACGCACAGTTTGTCCACGGATCGTCAGCGTCACTCACACAACGTGTCCAGTAATTTTCAAATTATGCATCAAACTGAATGAACTGTAATACTGAGGATACAATGATTTCATTCCACTCTCGATTCAGCAGAGAAAAGGACATGTACCACGACAGAGTGAAAAACAGAATGATTCCATTTCTGACATTTCCCGAACACGAATATTGATGAAATTCAGTCACGACACAGGCTGGAAAACAGCTGGATCAGTGGTTAACGACTGACGAGGACAATTAAAAATCAATCAACGGTTCTTACTAATACTGATCGAGCTACATAAAAAAAAAAAAAAAAGGATTCTCACGCACTCAGTTCGTCGGTACAGGTCCAGGACATCGCACTGAGATGGAGCTGCAGTAAAAACACTATGAAGAGAATAGTTAAATCAATATAGTGTTTAAATTTGAAACTCCACACATGAAGCATTTTGTTGACGGATGTTTAAGACAGAACAACACGTCATTAATTCGAGCATTTTTCTTTCTGTTAAATGTTTTCTAACATCTCCGTCTCTCAGCCGTCAGAGTTTCCCTCACTAAGTCTGATCCGAGGCGAACTGACACAAGCCGTCGACAATCGCACAAACCCACAGGGCTGTTATCAGCTTTCACTCAAACTCAAAATCTAATGCTGAAAAATATGTTGACCCTTTGACTATTTCATCCAAAAATATATATATATAGAGGCAGGTATGTACATTATTATTATTTCATCATCTGTAAAAGTTAGGCTCTTAAAAAACTCACTGGTTTCGATAAAAGTGGATTTTCTCTTTAAAAAAGGCAAATTAACCACTGAAGTCGTTCTGACCGATGGATGCAAAATAAATAGAGATAAGTTATAACATATGTACACGATGGACGAAGCACTCAGTCGTTAACAAACAGAAAACAGAAACTCGCGAGTGGGTTTGTCTCATTTGTACCGTTCGTCTTATAAAGTTACAAATTCTTAAACTAAAACCAAACAACCTTCAGTTGTCACGGAAACAGAGAAAAACAGTCACATTTTGGTTGTAAAGTCACGAAAACCGGTTCAGTGTTGATCCTGTGCAGAGCAGTTCGTAGTGTTAATCCCTCTTTGTTTGAAAAAGCAAAGAAAAAAAGTTTAAAACGTAGGACTCCATTTCCCAGAGTCCTCTTGTGCAGACGCTCAACGTGGAGAAAAAGTCAGTTTCCGCAGTTGTGGGTCGCAGGTGGTTCAGAAGAGAGAAAGAAGAAGAAGTGTTAAGGCCCAGGCTGGAGAGTGTGTGTGTGTGTGTGTGTGTGTGTGTGTGT